ATTGTCCCTGAGCTAACACCTGTGCCAGTAGTCCTCTATTTTCTACGTGGGACGCCACCACATCATGATGGGCAGTGTGTAGGGCTGCGCCTGGGATCCAAACCCGCAAACCCCAGGCTACCAAAGCATAGCATATGAACTTAACCACTACACCACCAGGCTGGCCCCATCATTAATACGTTTTTGATGACTAATTGCTCACTCAACACTTATTTGCATTCCTTTTTCTTCTTTTTAATGGTGGATATCTAGATAGTGAGAACAAATGATGAATTTCTGTGATAAATTCAATTTCCAGAATATTCAGGAAAAGCCCTGCACTGATACATAGCACTACAAACACAAACAGATCCTTGAAATACCTAGTCCCTTTCCCTCTTTGAAGGAAAACTTTCCTTAATTGGAATACAGAAAGCTGGCAGCAAATACATACACACACACATTTGAAAAAAAAACCCTCGTGGAGAAAAGTGAAAAAACTGAACCCCTGCAAGTGGTTAGCTCCCTGTGAGTAGATAACAGCATACACTGATCATTTTTTTAATTTCTCCAGTGTTCAGCCACATCACAAACTGCTATGCTACAGGCCTCTACTTTCTCTCTCTTTCATCTGGGGCATTTCGCTGCCCCAAACCATGAAATTTCTTATCAAAAGTAACACTGACATATATTTTCAATTCCGTTACTCAGGTTCACCTTCTTGAAAGTTTTAAAAACTTTCAGACGTTCATAGTGATGCTGCAGCTGGACCTCCACATCCAGGCTTTCCAGTCCCTAAATTCCATGAGGTCTACCAGATGATCACCCTAGAGATGCCCTCTGGGACCTAGCCAAATTCTTCACACACTTGTGTTGAAAGACAATAACTAACTCTTGCCATCTCCAACTAGCCTGTAGTCATGACTAACCAATGCAACAGGATTTTTTGTTTTAAAGATTTTATTTTTCCTTTTTCTCCCCAAAGACCTCCGGTATCTAGTTGCATATTTTTAGTTGTGAGTCCTTGTAGTTATGGCACCTGGGATGCCACCTCATCATGGCTCGACAAGCAGTGCCATGTCTGTGCCCAGGATCCGAACTGGCAAAACCCTGGGGCCACCAGAGCAGAGCGCAAGAACTTAACCACTAGGCCACAGGGCCGGCCCCACAACAGGATTTTTTAACTTGTAGATTTGAAAAACAAAGATGTCGTAACCACAAGAGACAGACGCATAAAATACCACCACACTTGGACATGAAATGTCAAAAGAAGCCAACTGTCTGCATTAGGAAGAAATTCACCAACCAGTTCAGCAGCTCTGAAACAAAGTTGGTAAGATCCAGAAGATCTTGGAAGCAAAGGTGACATTCTTTGATCCACTGGCTGATCTCTACTGTACAGGGTCCTTGTAGATAAGCACATTTCTCGGACTCCCTAAAACTCAACACAAAATTCTGACATTGTTAAAATCACATATCTCATAGAAACAGATGGTGAGCATTGTCTGTCAAGGTTTTATATAATTCATTTATGGGAGAACCAGCAGAATAACACAGCCGATAAATTGATAATATGTGGAATTTGAAATTATATACTCGATGAAAAAGAATGCTGAAATATGACCTCTTAACTCTTACCCCTAGGATTATCTTTTCTATTAGACAAAAAGAAAAATCACGTCTATTAGTTTTCTACATGTTAACCTCTAATTTTACAGGACTGTAAAATATCTGGGTCCTAATAATTCTTAGGCAATGTTATATTGCCTAGAGAGTTAGATAAACCTCAGGCAACATTATTAGAAAATGCTCTAGCATGTTGAAAGTCACGGAATCATCTCTTTGCCTTATTTCAAGTTTCGGATAATTATTTCTGAACAGAGATTAGATAAAAGAACCCAGTATTGGGGGACAGAGGAATGGAAAAGTTTCCTGAGAGAAGCTAAGAAGCGCAGAGGGAGGGAACTGGGACTTTTTCACGGCATGGAGACTTAGAATACTGAATTAACTTCTTGCTTGAGGATGAATGAATGAATTTTCCAAAAATAGCTGAGAAAATATCGAAATTACGGTAAGCAATTCCAAACCACTTTATTCACCAGAGTGTGTTTTCCTTGCATTGAAATTCCTCTTTCCTGGAACAGTTTTTCTCATTCTGCCAATCCGTTAGAGTGAGAGGGAATCTTATTTACAGTAAAGCCAGGAAGGTGAATGTGATTCAATTTTAATACAAATGCTGAACACTACGTGGAAGAGCTCAGCATACTAGAAAAACCAGGTTTTAAGTTTTTTAGCAAACTATAAATGTGAAGTGATGATTTAATTCAATTAGTCTAGTTTACATAAAAGGAAGAACAAGCCAAACAATACCTCATAGATTAACACATAGTAAATTTTAAGATCCTTGAGAACAGTGACTACATGGTACTGGTGACTATTTGGTGCTGCCACAATTTAAAACATCAAAAGTGTTAAATAAGTTGGTAGAAGCAGAAGGAGGAGTTTGAGTCGGGACGCAGAGGCAACCAGCAGCTAGCTCCTTGGTGGTCATGGGCCTTGTTCCTTTTGGGCCTCCTTGCTCCCTGAGAGGGGAGGGGAGCTTCGCTGCCGAGTGGAGCCGCCACCGCCCAAGGCCCCAGCGTGAAGTCGCCAGGACTTCTCTCAAACTTGTGGGCTGGGGAGACTCAGATGTTGGCCTCAGCTCCTAGGCTGAACTCAGCGGATCGGCCCATGAAAACTTCTATATTGAGACAAAGGAAAGGATCCGTCAGAAAGCAACATCTGTTATCCCGGGCTTGGCAGCAAGAAAGAGGACAGGTAGTGGAAATCCTGCAATCTGAAAAGCAGACTGAAAGGTGACAAAGAAGCTGAAGATGGGTGGTGGAGAGAGGTAGAACATTCCAGCCCTCAATCTAGAAATGTTAGTAAGGACCAACAACAGCTTAATAGACAGAAGACCAGGGATCAGAATTCCCAGATGAAGATTGTTCGTAAGAAAAAAAAAGGGACATGCTTATAACTTCTCAGTAGTTGCATGGCAGGCCATGCAAAATGGGGGAAAGAACAAACATTTTCCAAATAATCCCTCTGGCTTCTCAAGTCTCAGCTTACTTTTTAAGTCTCAGAACTATGCTGGAGCCAAATTTAGTGAGCGGCCGTCACCAAGTGTTCTGCCTAAACCACCAAGCCGGTGGGTTCCTGTTTCTTTTTATCCTTCTGATAAGGAAATAGTGACATTTCAACTTAAAACTTTACTTAAAGTCTGGGTATAAAACAAGAAAAAGTACTAAGGTTTAATTTTAGTTACATTTAAGGGTAGTTGTCAGGTGTTTCAGACCAAATTCACTAGGGAATTAATCTATTTGTGTAAAACTGCTAATTAACATAGAAAACATAATTAGACTTCATCTCGTTTTGTACTGTGTGCACTGTGATGTAATGGTAATATCAGTGCAACTTAAAATATCTAAATTATTGATAATTGTACTTGATATTAACTATTCTCAATTGAGTAACTCTTAAGTGAAACCATTCGAGTTTAGATTTGGGGAATGATAAAGGAATCAACTCTTTGTGTTGCCTGTTGGAGGAAAATACTGATTCAAGATTATCATTCATGGATCAGTAGATTTACTTGTTGAAAGCTAGTGAATCTCATTATAAGCATCTAGTTAGGGCACACAGATTGAAAACTAGTTGAGTACTGGAAAGTTTAATGTCCTAGAAATACCCAAACCGGTAACATGCCAACAACCTGATGCACTGCCAAAAGAAAACGTGAATTTTTCTTAGAGTTACATTTTAGTAAACTGTACAGTGGTGAATGTGGAAGGAGCACTAGGGGCTATTTAGATGCGACAGTATATACCCCAGTGGCCCTGTTTCTTACAGACAGTGGGGGTAAGTGTTTGCCAACAAATGCACCAAAACAGTGTTTGTAGAAATAGTATTTGGTGGTCACTGAGTAGCTCTGAAAATACATTTTTGTATTACAGCACTGCACAAGCTATTCTGACAGTGATCTGGCTGCAAATCATCCCTGCAAACCTTGCTTAAAGCGGGGAGCTGTATAATCTGAAAGTTTAAAGTACCTAGGAAAGAGCCATGCAAATACATGTAATAAACTTGTAGCATCTGTAAAGTTTTGTTGGCATTTATTCTACAAAAATAGAATATTTTAGTATGAATTTGCCAAATGTAAGACCATTGACTCTTTCTTATACTATGGCCTAATTTCAAAGGTCCGAAATAATTTGTTTTTAAAGTTTGCCCTTGTGCTAAAGTGCCAGTGATATGCATAGCTGATTTGGTTGTAAGCTATATTACAAAGTAAATCCTAGTGTAGTAAGTTTTATATAACTGAAAGGTTTTAAGCTGCTAAAACACTTCCTATTTTTAAGAGATTTGAAATTCAGTATGGGTCTATTTTTTCTTCCTTAAGCCCAAAGATTAACTATTAAAGGGTCCCTTCATTCTTAAAGATTCATTTTGGCTGTCAACAATTTTTGTAACCTATGATACAAGTATAGTTTACTGTACAATGGCAGTGTATTTTTGTCACCAATAAGTGCAACCCGGGGACTACTTATACAAAAGATGTAATTTCTTCCTTCAAACCTCGATCACATGTTTTACCTCCTTTAAAGGTAAATGCTAAGTGTAACAGTTAACTCAATAGTAAAAGAATGTGTGTGGAGGGGTCAACTAAAAATGTCTGATTTTTTCTAATTTGGCAGCTTTTATTGTTATTTTTATGCAGAATGGCTAAGCTGTATTTCTCCAAATAAATTCAGATGAGATAATATTGCCCAAGTCAAATAATATCCTAAAGACAAGTTTATATAGTACTTACCATACATATACGAATTCGAAGCATGAAATTAAGTAAAATTGCTTTTCTCCTGCCTCCAAAAAAAGTGTTAAATAAATAGTAAATGAATCTGTAAAGTCATCAAATACTTGCTGGGCAAATAAAATAATAAACGAATGACATATTGACACACTCTATTTATATCTTCTAGACTTGTAAGGCTTTCCTTCCTTCCATGATCAAAGCTAACCATGGTCACTTAGTCTGTATTTCAAGTGCAGCAGGACTCGTTGGAGTTAGCGGGCTATCAGGTGAGTACTTCACTTCACCAAGTCCCTTTGTATTCTCCAGTCCACAGCACCCAGAAATTAGGACTCTTCCAAGGTACAGAGAACTCTTCCTGTGCCAAGGGGAAATCTCTGGAACATTTGGCTCTGTGTATATTGCCAGCATTCCTTTCCATTTCCCTCCTTAAAATGGCAGTGATAAAGGGAGAGAGTCTCTTCTATTTAAAAAACAAAGAGAAGAATGTGCCTGTTGGCTCATTAGTCTTCTTGGGTTAAGAGAAATTGAAATAATTTCCGTCTTGTTGTTGGATATATAGTGTGGAGATACAGGAGTAGAGCAGCCACAAAAATGACTTTAACAGTGATGCTTTGTCCCCAAGGATAAGCCGGAGAAAGGGGAGGGAATTTCGATTTTTAAAATAATTCCAAAAATTAACTTGTCAAATTCTATTACTAACAGCGCTTCACTTTGTTTCAGATTATTGTGCCAGCAAATTCGCAGCTTTAGGCTTTGCAGAGTCTCTCTTCCTTGAATTAAATCTGGTAAAGAAAACTAAAATTAAAACCACCATCATTTGCCCATATTTCCTCAAAACTGGAATGTTTGAAGGTTGTACGACCAAGTAAGTGAACTCTTACGGTAATCTTTGCTCTTATAATAATCTTCCAATATGTGTGAATTACCGTCTGTTCATTTTGAAGTTTTGAAATATGGACAGTAAAACAAAAGAAATTATTTGAACGCCTAACTTAGTAAAAGAAAAAGTTCAATATGCATTGGATTGATGAATTTATTCAATTTAAAATAAAATATAGTAATGAAGTTTATGGTATGGTGAAATTGAAAACTAAATAGCTAGTCAGAATATCACAATATAACAGGAAAATTGGTAGTGAGAAGTTATTAAAATATTTAGGATTGCAGTGTTGAAAAGATAATTTCTTTCCTAAAAAGAATACTGAAGTAAAAATAATCCAAAAAATACAATATTTTGTAAGATTGATTAATACATGTGGGGAAGTATTGGGGGGTGATATTTTGCCATAAAAGTTACATTTGTTTAAACAGTACAAATGCGGATACAAATAAAATATGAGGGTTTTTACACAAAGGAGCCAATCAGTAGAGTATAGTGAAAAGTATAAACAGGATTTAGGGCAAGTGTAGACATTTGAATTACTAAAAAGAGGACTGACATGATCCAAATAACATAAATCAGCTGTATTTGCAGGAAAGAGAGACAGCCAACAAAAAAGGCTCTCTAAAAAGCAATGAGGCTATTCAGAGTCTAGTGAAACTACAAATTTACATAGAAAGCACCAAAACAGGAGGTGAAGAGTATAGAGGGAGAAAATCTCTCACAAAGAGACATCTATTAAGATGGTCAAAATTAGCAAAAACAATGGTCTACTTTCATTCTTTTGCATGCGGCTGTCCAGTTTTCTCAACACCATTTATCGAAAAGCCTTCCATTTCTCCATTGTATGTCATTGGCTCCCTTGTCAAAAATTAGGTGTCCATAAATGCGTGGGTTTATTTCTGGGCTTTCAATTCTGTTCTATTGATCTGTATGTCTGTTTTTGTGTCGGTACCATACTGTTTTGATTACTATAGCATTGTAGTATATTTTGAAATCAAGGAGTGTGAAATCTTCAGCTTTGTTCTTTTTTCTCAGGATTCTTTTAGCCATTCTGGGTCTTTTGTTGTTCCATATAAATTTTAGGATTTTTTGTTGTACTTCTGTGAAAAGTGTTGTTGGAACTTTGATAAGGATTGCATTGAATCTGTAGATTGCTTTAGGAAGTATGGACATTTTAACTGTTAATTCTTCCAAACCAAGAGCACAGAATATCCTTCCATTTCTTTGTGTCTTCTTCTATTTCTTTCAACAATGTTTTATAGTTTTCAGTGTACAAGTCTTTCACCTCTTTGCTTAAATTTATTCCTATTTTATTCTTTTTGTTGTGATTATAAATGGCATTATATTCTTAATTTCTCTTTCAGCTACTTTGTTGTTAGTGTATAAGAATGCACCTGATTTTTGTATGTTGACTTTGTACCCTGCAAGTTCACTATATTCATCAATTATTTTTAATAGTTTTTTGGTGGACTCAGAGTTTTTTACATATAAAATCATGTCATCTGCAAATAGTGACCATTTTACTTCTTCTTTTCCAATTTAGATCCCTTTTATTTCTTTTTCTTGCCTGATTGCTCTGGCTAGGACTTTGAATTACTGTGTTAAATAAGAGTGGTGAAAGTGGGCATCCTTGTCTTATTCCTGTTCTCAGAGGAATAGCTTTCAGTTTTTCACCATTGAGTATGATGTTAGCTGTGGTTTTGTCATATATGGTCATTATTATGTTGAGGTTCTTTCCTTCTATACCCATTTTATTCAGAGTTTTTATCATAAATGGATGCTGTATCTTGTTAAGTACTTTCTCTGTGTGTACTGAGAGGATCGTGTGATTTTTATTCTTCATTTTGTTAACGTAGTGTCTCATGTTGATTGATTAATGGATGTTGAAGCATCTCTGCATCCCTGGAATATATCCCACTTGATCATGGTGTATGCTCCTTTTAATGTACTGTTGTATTCGATTTGCTAATATTTTATTGAGGATTTTTGCATCTATGCTCATCAGTGATATTGGCCTATAATTTTCCCTTTTTCGTGTTGCTTTGTCTGGTTTTGGTATCAGGGTAATGCTAGCCTTGCAGAATGAGTTAGAAAGCTTCCCCTCCTCTTCAATATATTGAAAGAGTTTGAGAAGGATAGGTATTAAGTCTTCTTTGAATGTTTCATAGAATTCACCAGGGAAGATGTCTAGTCCTGGGCTTTTTGAGGGGGAAGGTTTTTGTTGTTGTTTCTTGCTGAGGAAGGTTTGCCCTAAGCTAACATCTGTTGCCAATCTTCCTCTTTTATTCTTTTTTTTAATGTGAGCTGCTCCCACAGCATGGCTGCTAACAGATGAGTGGCATAGGTCCACACGTGGGAACCGAACCCAGGCTGCCAAAGCAGAGCACGCCAAACTTAACCACTAGGCCACCAGGGCTGGCCCTTTTGCTGAGGTTCTTGATTACTGTTTCAATCTCCTTGCTAGTGATCAGTCTGTTCACATTTTCTTTCTTCTTTATTCAGTTTTGGGAGGTTGTACAATTCTAAGAAGTCATCCATTTTTTCTAGATTATCCAATTTGTTGGTATATAGCTGTTCATAGTATTCTTATAATGCTTTGTATTTCTGTGGTGTCCGTTACAATTTCTCCTCTTTCATTTCTGATATTATTTTTCTGAGCCTTCTTTTTTCTTGGTGTGTCTAACTAACAGTTTGTCGATTTCGTTTGTCTTTTCAAAGCACCAGCTCTTGGTTTCGCTGATTTTTCCTTTTTTATTTTTTTTAAGTCTCTATTTCATTTATTTCTGCTCCAATTTTCATTATTTCCTTCCTTTTAATAAGTTGGGGCTTCATTTGTTCTTCTCTTTCTAGTTCCTTTACATGTATTGTTAGATAGTTTATTTGAAGTTTTTCTTGTTTTTTGAGGTAGGCCTGTATTGCCATAAACCTCCTCTTAATTCTGCTTTTGCTGTATTCCGTAAATTTTGGCATGTTGTATTTTCATTTTCATTTGTCTCCAGGTACTTTTTGATTTCTCCTTTAATTTTTTCATTGACCCAATAGTTGTTCAGTAGCATTTTGTCTAATCTCCACATATTTATGGCTTTTCTAGTTTTCTTCTTATAGTTGATTTCTAGTTTCATACCTTTGTGGTCAGAAAAGATGCCTGGTATTATTTCAATCTTCTTTAATTTATTGAGACCTGTTTTGTGACCTAAACTGTGATCTGTCCTGGAGAACGTTCCATGTGCATTTGAAAAGAATGTGTATTCTGCCGTTTTTGCATGAAATGTTCTGTATATATCTACTAAGTCCATGTGGTTTAATGTGTCATGTAAGGCCAATGTTTCTTTATTGATCTTGTCTGAGTGATCTATCCATTGGTGTAAGTGGAGTGTTAACTCCCCTACTATTATTGTGTTACTGTCAATTTCTCGTTTTATTTCTGTTAATTATTGCTTTATATATTTAGGTGCTCCTGCGTTGAGTACATAGATATTTACAAGTGCTATGTCCTCTTGTTGGATTATTCCCTTTATCATTATGTAATACCCTTCTTTGTCTCTTGTTACAGCTTTTGTTTTAAAGTCTGTTTTGTCTGATACAAGCATTGCTACCCCAGCTTTCTTTTCATTTCCATTCACATCGGGTATCTTTTGCTATCCTGTCACTTTCAGTTTGTGAGTGTCTTTAGGTCTGAAGTGTGTCTCTTGTATGCAGCATGTATATGGGTCTTGTTGTTTCATCTGTTCAGCCACCCTGCATCTTTTGGTTGTAGCATTTAGTCCATTGACATTTAAAGTCAGTATTGATCACTAGGTACTTATTACCATTTTGTTTCTTTTTTTTCTGGGTGTTTTTGCAATTCTTCTCTGTTCTTTTCTTCTTCTCCTGCTTTCTTGCCTTATGATTTGTTGGCTTTCTTTAGTCTTATGTTTGGGTTCCTATTTCTTAACTTTTTGCATATTTATTATAGGTTTCTGATTTTTCATTACCGTGAGGTTCACATATAATAACCTATGTAAAGAGCAATGTATGTTAAGTTGATAGTCTCTTAAGTTTGACCTCTTGCTAAAAGCCCTACACTTTTACTCCTCCCCCCACATTTATATGTTTTTTGATATCATATTTTACTTCTATTATTTTCATGTATTCCTTAACCTCTTATCATGGAAATAGATATTTTTAGTATTTTTGTCTTTTAACCTTTGTACTAGCTTTATTGGTGGTTGATCTACTACCTTTCTTGTATATTTCCCTTTACCAGTGATATTTTTCTTTGATAATTTTTCATTCCTATTTGTGGTGGTTTTTTTCCCACTTAAATAAGTCCCTTGAATATTTCTTTTAAGGCTGGTTTAGCGGTAACGAACTCCATTAGTTTTTGCTTGTCTGGAAAACTCTATTTCTCCCTCTGTTTTGAGTGATAACGTTGTTGGCTAGAGTATTTTTGCCTGTAGGTTTTTCCTTTCAGCACTTTGAATATACCATGCCACTCCCTTCTAGGCTGTAAGGTTTCTGCTGTGAAGTTGGCTGATAGCCTTATGAGGTTTCCTTTGTATGTAATTTGTTTCTTTACTCTTGCAGATTTTAGGATTCTCTCTTTAATTCTTGACATTTTAATTATAAGGTCTTCGGTGGGCCTCTTTGAGTTCATACTATCTGGTGCTCTCTGTGTTTCCTGTACCTGGATATCTGTTTCCTTCCTCAGGTTCAGGAAGTTTTCAGTTATTATTTACTCAAATAGGTTCTCTGCTCCCTTTGTCTCTCTCTTCTCCTTCTGGGACATCTAGAATACAGATGTTCATAGGCTTGATGTTGTCCCAGAGGTCCCTTAGGCCATCCTCATTCTTTTCAATGCTTTTTTCTTTTTTCTGTTCAGCTTGGGGGATTTCCTCTACTTTTCTATCCAGCTCACTGATCCATTCTTCTGTGTCATCTGCTCTGCTGTTGAGTCCCTCTAGTGATTTTTCATTTCCATTATTGTATTCCTCAGTTCTGAT